TCTAAAATACTATTTGATTTCTCACAAATACTGTTGAATATAGAAGAAATAGAGTTTGGGATTAATCTCCCTTGTGTATAAATCACACATAGGATAGTCTATTTATAATAGAGAGATACAACTAAAAGAGTAAATGAAAGTAACAGAATAAACAGAAGATATTGTTTGATATTATGGTTAATATCTAACAATATCTTAACAATATTAAATAATATCTAAACAATATCTAACACTCCCCCTCAAGCTGGAGCATACAAATCATATGTGTCAAGCTTGTTACGGATATAATCAATTCTAGGACCCCGTAAAGATTTAGTAAAAATATCTGCTAACTGATCACTTGAGTTAACAAACTCAGTCTTGATGTCTCCAGACATAATCTTTTTTCGAATGAAATGACAGTCAATCTCAATGTGTTTGGTCCTCTCATGAAAGACAAGATTAGAACTAATATGAAGAACAGCCTAATTGTCACACACAAGTGACATTTGAGTGACATCTCCAAATTGTAACTCTCTAAGCAATTGCTTGAGCCAAACAAGTTCACAAGCAGCTGAGACCATAGCTCTATATTCTGCTTCTGCATTAGATCTTGCCACAACACTTTGTTTCTTACTTTTCCATAAGACCAAGTTACCACCAATGGAGACACAATATCCAGATGTAGATCTTCTATCCGAAGGAGATCCTGCCCAATCTGCATCTGAATAGCAAACAACTCTTGTATGGTTATTAGAATCATATAACAATCCTTTTCCAGGAGATCCTTTAATATACTTTAAGATACGAATGACTGCATTCCAATGATCTTCACATGGGGAATTAAGAAATTGACTTACCACACTGACTGCAAAGGAAATGTCAAGACGAGTAACCGTAAGATAATTCAATTTTCCAACCAATCTTCTATACTGCTCAGGATCAGGTATAAGCTCCCCCTAATTTGGTAAAAGTTTAGTATTGGGATCCATGGGCGTATCAGCAGACTTTGAATTCATCAACCCAGTTTCCTCTAAAATATCCATAACATACTTCCTCTGAGATATAACAATACCATCATTGGAATGTGCCACCTCAATACCCAAGAAATATCTAAGTTTGCCAAGATCTTTGGTCTGAAAATGGTGACAGAGATGTTGTTTCAACTGAGAGATGTCATGATTGTCACTACCTGTAAGAACGATGTCATCAACATATACTATCAAGTAAACACATCCAGCACTTGAGTGTCGATAAAAGACAGGGTGATCTGCTTCACACCGAGTCATACCAAATTATTGAACAACCTTGCTAAACTTTCCAAACCAGGCCCTAGGAGACTGTTTTAGGCCATATAGGGATTTGCGAAGATGACATACCATCCCAGAAGACTCCCCCTGAGCAACAAACCCAGGAGGTTGCTCCATATAGATTTCTTCTTGCAAATCACCATTGAGGAAAGCATTTTTAACATCTAGTTGATAAAGAAGTCATTGTTGAAGAGCGGCCATGGCGATAAATAAACGAACAGAAGTCATCTTTGCCACAGGAAAAAAGGTATCTCCATAATCCAACCCAAAAATTTGAGTATAACCTTTGGCCACAAGACGAGCTTTGAGGCGATCAATAGTACCATCAGGTCCAACTTTGATAGCAAACACCCACCTGCAACCAACAACAGATTTCCCAGACGGTAACGAGACCAATTCTCAAGTTCCACTATTATAAAGAGCACTTAGTTCATCTAACATGGCCTGATGTCAACCAGGATGGGCTAAAGCTTTACGGACAGTTTTTGGAATGGTCACAGAAGAAAGAGGAAAAGACATGTATAAAAAGGTAATGACAGTCGATGATAACTCAAACCAATATAATGAGGAGAGGGATAACGTGTAGAACGGATACCTTTTCGGAGGGCAATGGGAATGTCAGACTCAGGTGTCACATCAGGAAGAGACAGAGTAGTTGGCACTTGAGTAGAGTCACATGGTAATGGTTGTGATTGGTTTCGGCAACTATAAACCTGAAGAGGCAGTGAAGAAGAAGCTGACTGCGGAGTAGAATCTAATGGTGAAGAAGACACAGTTAGAGGGTCACAAACAACAGGAACATTAAATGTACTAGGAGTGTTGACAAGATTAGATGGAGACAGAGGTGAAGATTGACTTTTAAAATAAAAAGAGAACTCATCAAAGGTGACATCTGCAAACACAAAATAACGGTTAAGAGAAGGAGAAAAACATTTGTATCCTTTTTGTGATCTTGTAAACCCTAAGAAAACACATTTATGTGATCTAGGAGAAAGCTTGTCAAGACTAGAACTAAAATTATGAACAAAACATGTAGACCCGAAAACTTTTAGAGGTAAGGGATGAAGTGGTTCATGAGGGAATAAAATGGAATGAGGTATTTTATTATCTAGAACCGAAGATGACATGCGATTAACAAGATAACATGCAGTAAGAAGAGCATAATCCCAAAAATGCTGAGGAACCTCTCCATGAATTAAAAGAGTGCGAGTTGTTTCAATAAGATATCTATTTTTACGTTCAGCTACACCATTTTGTTGAGGTGTATAAGCACAAGAAGTTTGATGCAAAATACCATGAGAAGCCATGAATTGTTTAAAAGAATGAGAAAGATATTCACAACCATTATCACTGCGCAAAACTCTAATAGAAACACCGAACTGAGTTTGAATTTCATTGAAAAAAATTTGAAAGATATGAAATAATTCAGAACGATTTTTCATCAAAAATAACCAAGTGAATCTGGAATAATCATCAATGAAAGTAACAAAGTATTGAAAACCTAAAGTAGACTTAACGCGGCTAGGTCCCCAAATGTCAGAGTGAACCACGGCAAAAGGGGACGAAGCACCACGTGTGACACTACGAGGAAAGGAAGTACGACTATGCTTGCCTAATTGACACGACTCACATGCCAAACTAGACAATTTAGATAATGCAGGGACAAGTTGCTGTAACTTGGCAAGACTTGGATGACCTAACTGAGCATGGAGAAGAGAGGGAGACTCTATAACTGCACCAATATGTGTAAAGGGACGAAGATGATAAAGACCATGAGACTCACATCCTGTGCCAATCACCTGTTTCGAACTCCGGTCCTGTAAACACACAGAATTGTTGGTAAAAGAAACAACACAATCAAGAGAACGAGTTAGCCAACTGATGGATAACAGGTTAAAAGGAGACCCAGGGACATAAAGAACATTATCAATGGTTAAAGAAGGGAAAAGTTTAACAGTTCCAACACCATGAGATGATACTCTAGAGCCATCAGCTAGTGTAACAAAAGGTAAAGGATCAGGAGAGGATAAAAAGGAGAACAAAGATTTGTTACCAGTAATATGATCAATGGCTCCTCAATCAAAAACCCAAGGACCAGAAGAAGATTGGGTCAGACCAGCAAAAGATGTACCTGTGTGTGCGACAGACACAGTGGAACTAGAAGATTGTTGATCCTTATACCATTTGAAAATTTGTTGAACATAGCAGGTGTGTCTGATGAAATAGAAGAAGGAGGATCCTTAGTAGATAAAGGTGGGGAAAGATCAGTCTGAGCAACTGCAGTAGATCGAGTAGGACGACCATGTAATGCATAACACTTGTCAATCTTGTGACCTAGTTTGCCACAATGTTCACACTCATGTAATGCATAACACTGGTCAATCTTGTGACCTAGCTTGCCACAATGTTCACACTTAGGACGCCCTTTTCCCTGTTTGCGAGGGCGAGTTCGATCATCACGGTGAGATACCAATGCAGAAGAATCATTAACAGAAGCAAGTGTGTCAGAGTTGGGTTTTGCTGGTATACGCAAAAGAGTGGAGCAGGTCGATGTCAAGGTGGGGACAACCGGAGAACCCAAAATCTGATCACGAATATGTGAATATTGATCAGCAAGTCCGTGTAATGCCCCTAGCATGAAGAACTTTGATCGTTGTCCTATCTCGGTAAGGTGGTCGGGAGAAGGAGACAATAACTCATTGAACTCATGAAAAAGAGCATGAATTTTGCCCATATAATCAGTCATAGAATCTTGATGTTTAGAGGCAATAACATCTACAAATTTAGAACAGTACATCATAGAGACGTTGAGTATCATTGGTGTATAATAACTTGGCATGTTCCCAGATTTTGGCACATGTTTCGTAGGAACGAAAAATTTGTTTTAACGAAGGATCAAGAGTACCCTTGAGAACCACGTATAATTGAGCATCAATGATGTCCCAACGGTCTTCCTCATCAGGAGTGAGAGTAGGTGCTTTCGGGGCAAGATGATCAAGATACTTCTGACTCTTAAGCCATAATCTGACGTCTGATGACCATGTGGCATAATTAGGGCCAGTTAACTTGTCAATGGATAAGTGCACATTAACATAGTTAGTGTAGATGGAAGGATCAGACGCAGTACTGACAGAATTGGAAGTACTAAAAGGAGCGGAAGAACTCATAAAGGGCGGAGGCGATAGTGACAGCGGCGTGAACCAATACACCAGGTAAGTTCCTAGGAAAGAGAGGTGGGTCACTAACGGACACGCTTAAATACCAAGTCTTTCCTTGTCAGAACTTTCCTAGACATGCACTTTCACACTACCAAATAACCGACAACGATAGCGGCGGTGGCGGCTTCAATAGTGGTCAAAGGCGAAAAAAAAAAATTCAAAATAACCTTAAGTTCTAGGTACCATGTTGAATATAGAAGAAATAGAGTTTGAGATTAATCTCCCTTATGTATAAATCACACATAGGGTAGTCTATTTATAGTAGAGAGATACAACTAAAAGAGTAACTGAAAGTAACAGAATAAACAGAAGATATTGTTTGATATTATGGTTAATATCTAACAATATCTTAACAATATTAAATAATATCTAAACAATATCTAACAAATACAATAGAGTCAATGCCCGCATGTGAACTTGTTTACATTAAAATTCGACGAAAAATTATTTCAGTAAAGGAATGCCATCTATCAATGAAAGCATAAAATAATACCTGCGACCTTAATTTAATAACCTCCTGACTGAGGTTATCATTGGTTCTCTTAGCATCATCCACAACTATCTTTGGGGATGAAAGTCCCCCTATTGTTGGGGTTGGAGTAGTTGAACGAGGTGGACTAGGTCGTCTGGATATTGGGGATGTTGCCCGGGAAACAATTCTAGACCCAGGAACAGAAGCTGAGAAAAACTTCTTCGATGATCCAAAAACAGGATTGAAAGATTTTGAAATATTCATTGCTCCCCACTGCGAACCACCATTTGGAGCAGGTGAGACGCGGCTACTGTTGAATTCCAACTTTTTGTTTTTCTTTGAATATCTGCTGTCCACTTGTTTCAAGGATTCCATTGAAGAAAACCTTGCAAGTTGATTATGAGATCTGGAATCAAATTTGTCATCCTTACCAATAAACTCAAGTGACCCCTGATTAACACTTCCTCTTCGGCTCATAGAAGACTGAGATGAAGAATCAGCTTCGGTAGTTTTTCTTATTTTATTAAAACAATTATCACAGACACGATAAGGTTTGTTGGGATTTGGTGCCATTGAAGCCTTAACAGATTTCTTACTACTGCATGAATGACAAAAAACAAGTCCACAGTTATAACAATTGTGGCGTTTCCTTTTGAAATTGAATGGCAGGCGGCATCCTGAACACATAGACTGGTCAACACCACATACCCACTTATGCAGACATATGGCTGCTGTGAAATTTGTACCACAAGCAATACTTTTTACTTGTTTGTCTTTCAGAGCTTCTACTAATGTGGGGGTGTTTCTATCATTAGTATCCCCATGGCCTAAACGACCATTTGCACCCTTCCCCCAAGTGAAAACTTCAGTCTTTGAAGTTAAAACTGCAACATGATATGCACCACAAGCTAGCTCTTCTACAAAACTCTTTGAAAGCTTTCCTTCTACACGGGTAGGTAGCTTCCCATCAGCTTGAGTATTTCCTAACTGGCCATAGACACAACTGCCCATTGTATAGACATGACCTGATCTAGAAAGTGCAACAGTCATACTATGACCACAGGACACTTGACAAAAATTAGGTTCAACAAGAGCCACGACGACACAGGTTGGAACAAGTTTTGATTCCTTGTCACCATGCCCAAGTCGACCTTTGTCTCCATCACCCCATGTAAACAGCTTCCCTGAAGAGCAGTTGCTGGAACTTGAATTTCCAACCATGACCTCCACAACAGCAGCAGTATGCCAAACACCACAAGCAGCCTGAACAGTACGAAGCCCCTTCAAGGACTCTATTTCTCTTGGTAAGGAAACACTTTTTCGGTCTCCATGCCCCAGAACACCAAATGTGCCATCACCAAAAGTAAATAATTGCCCAGCAGAGGTTACTACAGCAGTGTGCCATGGACCACAAGAAATAGATGAAACATGTATGCCCTCCAAAGGGCCATTGACTCTTTTTGGGACCCAGTGGCTCACCTGATTTCCATGCCCCAGAAGACCATAATAGTAAGTGCCATCACCCCATGTATAAAGATCACCTGAAAGTGTCACAGCACATGTATGATACTCCCCACAAGCAACAAGTTCAATATTTGTATTACTTAGAGATTCAATAAGCTTTGGATGTGGAACATCAGAATCAACTCCATGCCCAAGCCTTCCTCCTGATTCTTCCCCCCAGGAAAAAATTTCACCTTGTTTGGTAACTAAGGCCGCATGTTTCCCACCACAAGCGATATTTTGTACATCAAGAACTACTGCTGATTCCAAGGCTTTGGGCAACAGAGAATCCATTTTGACACCAAAATCACTCCCAACTAGATGAGCTCCACCACCCAGTACAGCATCACCTGTGCCCTCCCCCCAAATGAAAACATCTCCCAAGGCATCACCATCATCATGACCAGAACCTTGGCTAGAGGAGCTAACAGCACTTGACAGACTAACTCTAAAAGCATCCATAGGCATTGTCTTCATTTGACCATGCATGCTCTCTGATCCTCCTGGTGACACTGAGTGAAGTGAACCACTCACAGAATCTGGAGGGAAGAAACCCATTGGAGGAATAGGATAATAAATCACATCAGAAAATGCTTTATCCAAACCATTTTTTGGGGGGCTTTCATATGGGCTATGAAGGTGAAGATGATCCCCACTATCCTGAATATGGAAAAGGAAAATCCTCTTCATAAACATCTTAACTGAAATGCAGTCAAACAGGGAGAAATAAAAGACACATAATATATTAATACCTTTGCCAAGCTTTCATTACTACCAAATGGAGAATTCAAGGGAGAACTTCTTCTAGTGTATGTTCGAGGACTATTAGCTTCAGATGGTATACCATCACTTCTTGACTCCGATTTCCACTTCCGGTGATGACTGCGTGAAATTAATGCTTTCAATCCACTGAACCAAACCTCAGCTTCATCTTTATCCTTACAAATCTAGAAGAAAAGCATTGATTACAACATCAGATAAAGTTTTTAGAAACAAAATACCTTAATAATACTCATAATATAAATAATATCTGTGCAATCATAATATAGCTTGGGAAAAAGATTTTATTTATAGTTTGTGACTAAACAATATTTGATTAACCAAGTAATTAGTTAACCAATGAACCTACCACACATTTTTGCCACCGCCACCACCCATTTTACAAATTTGTGGTTGACAACTGTAGGTAGATTATTGATTAAATTAATTGATACTTAGTTAATCAGATGCTTTTTTCCCCAAGCTGCATTTATTGATCATTTTTCAAGAAGAGGGGGAAAGGGAGGGAAATATAGTAATTTATACCAAGTCTAACGATCTATCATTGTAAATGAGAGAAAACGACTGGTATTCCTTCTCAGGCCGCGGATATCTTTGAAAGATTGGCTGAAAAAATAGGGTTTTGTTTAATCAGTCATAACAGAGACAGAGAACCTTATCACTTGTGATGAATTCACTACAGATGCTCAAAGTCATTAAGAAACTCTGAATATATTTATGATTATTCAATAATCCGATTTTCAAGCTCCATGGAACAACCTAACCTTGCAGTGTATTTTTACATAGATGACAACTAATTAGAAAAGACAGAACAAAAGTTCATCAACATGTATATAAATTCCTGGAAAGTAACAGTGTAGAAGTTGCTAGTATAAGAAATTATATAAATGACAGCAGGGGAAAGAGAAAAATTCATGACCCAACAAATTAATCTTCTGTAGCCAGTAAATCCTAATAAATATGAAGCCTATCCTAAAGGGAACATGATACAAAAATTTCCATAAACAGGTATATAACAGAAAAGGTTCATAATAACAACAAAGACCAAGCTGGCAAGCTTCTTTATAGAAGATGGATAGTGAATGACAACTCATTTATATATTGACTAGGAACAAATTGTGAGATCACAATATTGCATATATAAATGTGGGAAATCAAATAGTATTTTAGGAAAGAATAAATCAGGAAATTTGTATATTTCCTTGTAATCTGTACATATTTGAATAATTAGGAACAATCCCATAAATCAAGAGATCCTAGCATAAAATAGAGTTATTATATTTCCTAAAGTAGCTTAGGTCTCCTGTATATATCTTATATCATCTCTTTGTATTGAGATAATAAAAATCATATTTCAGTTAATCTAATTTTCCAGATGGTATCAGAGCTTCCGATCTAGGAAGCTCTGTTTGCGCGCGATAAACCCTAAGACGACAACCTGCATTGCTGCTGCATATTTCTTAACCCTGCTGCATATTTCTTAACCCTAAGACGGCAGCCTGCATTGCTGCTGCACTTTTTTTAACCCTAAGACGGCAGCCTGCATTGCTGCTGCATTTTTCTTAATCCTAAGACGACAACCTGCATTGCTGTTGCATTTTTTCTTAACCCTAAGACAGCAGCCTGCATTGCTGCTGCATTTTTCTTAATCCTAAGACGACAGCCTGCATTGCTGTTGCATTGCACCTTTTTGCTATAATGTCAAGGGAAAAGGAGATAGAAAGGGTGAAAAGCGTTCTTAGTAAGCTGGAAAAACCTACAGGTATGTGTTCTTTGGCATACTCAGGTAAGTTTTCACCTTCTTTTGGATTAAATGTCTCAGATACGCCTTTTAACCATTATTGGATATTGGACTCTGGAGCCACAGATCACATGACACCATTAGCCAAACACTTCTCCACATATTCCCCATGTCCCAGCAACAAGAAAATTGTCACAGCAGATGGAACCCTTATAACTGCAACTGGTCAAGAAAATATCCAAATCAATCCTTTAATAACCTTAAAAAATGTTCTCCATGTCCCAAAGCTATCCACGAACCTAGTGTCTATACAAAAACTTATAAAGGATTTGTCATGTAAAGTTTTTTTCAACGATTATTGTGTATTTCAGGACAAGGATTCGGGGAGGATGATTGGACATGCTAGAGAATGGAATGACCTTTATTATCTCGAAGATCCAAGTCTGCCCAGCAAAAATAGAATCTCTCACTCCTTCATATCTGAATCCTTGATGACCAACAGAGAAAAAATCATGCTTTATCATTGTCAGTTGGGACATCCCTCTTTTGGAGTTATCAAAATTATGTTTCCCTCTCTGTTTACCAAGTTAGATGTTGAGAATCTTCGTTGTGAGGTGTGTGAACTTGCTAAGCACAAGCGTATATCTTTTCCAATAAGTAATAGAATTAGCAATTTCCCTTTTATCTTGTTCATACTGATGTATGGGGACCTTCTAATATTCCAAATGTGTCTGGTACTCGATGGTTTGTCACCTTTATAGATGATTGTACAAGGGTCACTTGAGTTTTCCTACTTAAACAAAAATCAGAAGTCAGTTCTGTCTTCCTAAACTTCCACTCCATGATAAAAAATCAGTTTGGTGTTAATATTAAGAGGCTTAGGTCAGATAATGCCAAAGATTACTTCAATCATGTCCTTAATTCTTTTTGTCAAAAAGAAGGTATAATTCATGAGTCAAAACACCACATCAGAATGGGGTCGCAGAGAGGAAAAATGGACATCTATTAAATCAGACTCGGGCATTGTTGTTCCAAAAAAGTGTCCCAAAAAAATTTCTGGGGGGAAGCTGTCCTTACAGTAACATACCTTATCAATATACTACCCTCTAGAGTCTTAGGATCAAAAAGCCCTATGGAAGCTTTGTCGTCTTTCTATCCAAACTTGTCTACTACAAATAATCTTAAACCAAGAGTTTTTGGGTGCATCTCATATGTCCATATTCATAGTACAGACAGGGGGAAACTTGATCTTAGAGCCTTAAAGTGTGTCTTTGTTGGTTACTCACCCATTCAAAAAGGGTATAAATGCTACCACACCCCATCCAAAAAATTCTTTGTGTCTAGGGATGTTACCTTCAATGAACAAGAGGGCTATTTCCATCAACCTTATCTTCAGGGGGAGAGTTTCAGGGAAGATAAGGAAGATAAGGAAAGTAGTAATTATGGTTTTCCCATTCTTTCAGACTTGACATTTGAACCTAAACGAAATCATATTGAATGTAGTAATTCTGGTTTTCCCATTCTTCCAGACTTGATATTTGAACCTAAACGAGATCAAATTGAAGATCAAATTGAAGTTGTAACAAATGAAACAAGTCAAGGAATTGGTCAAGAAAAGGAAGTTGGTCAAGAAAGTGAAATTAATTGTGAAGCTTATCAAGAAGATGTTGAAGCTGATCAAGAAGATGTTGAAGCTGGAAAATTTGGTAAGAAGCTGGTATACTCAAGGAAGACTAAGGTCATTTCAGGATCAAGCCATGTTCAAGAATCCAACTCGACTCCACAAAAAGAGGTAACAATTTTTTCTCCAGCTGTGCAGGTTGAAATTGAAACCCAAAATGATCCTAACCTCCCAATTGCCATTAGAAAAGGAACAAGAAAATGCACCAAACAGCCACTCTACCCTCTCTCAAATTACCTGTCCTTTAAAAATTTCTCTCCTACCCATAAAACCTTCCTAGTAAACCTAAACACTGCACTTCTACCTAATACCCTATCTGAGGCATTGTCTGACAGAAAATGGAGGCAAGCCATGGATGTAGAGATGGAGGCATTGGAGAAGAACAACACCTGGGAGTTAGTCACCTTACCAATAGGAAAGAGACCAGTTGGATGTAAATGGGTCTATGCAGTGAAATACAAGGTTGATGGATCAATTGAGAGATATAAGGCAAAACTAGTTGCCAAAGGGTTCACCCAAACCTATGGAGTTGATTATTTGGAGACCTTTGCTCCGGTTGCCAAAATGAACACAGTTAGGGTGATATTGTCCCTTGCTGCCAATTATGGTTAGAACTTGGAACAATTTGATGTTAAGAATGTTTTCCTACATGGAGACCTTGAAGAAGAAATTTATATGGAGATACCTCCAGGATATAGTAAAATGTTGTTGCCAACATTGTTTGCAAGTTGAAAAAGGCATTATATGGGTTAAAATAGTCCCCCCATGCATGGTTTGGCAAGTTTACTAAAGTTATGACAGGTCTGGGTTACAAACAAAGCCAAGGGGACCATACTTTGTTTTTTAAACATTCCAAGTCAGGGGGAGTAACAATATTATTGGTGTATGTGGATGATATAATATTAACTGGAGATAATAAAGAGCAACAATTATTGAGTCAATGCTTAGGCAAGGAATTTGAGATCAAGACCTTGGGAAAACTAAAATATTTTTTGGGAATTGAAGTTGCTCACTCCGAGAAAGGGATATTTATATCTCAGCAGAAATACATCACTGATTTGCTCAAGGAAACTGGCAAGGCAGCTTGCAAACCTGCTAGTACCCCATTAGAACCAAACCTAAAGCTTGGAAATGCAGAAGATGTTGTTGAAAAAGATATGTACCAAAGATTAGTGAGCAAACTTATATATTTGTCACATACCAGGCCAGATATTGCCTATGCAGTGAGTTTAATTAGCCAATTTATGCATAGCCCAAAGGAGACCCATTTACAAGCTGCCCACAAAATTTTACAATACCTGAAAGGAACTCCAGGAAGAGGGATTCTATTCAAAAGGAATGGTAATGTGAAGCTTGAAGCCTATACTGATGCTGATTATGCAGGGTCAATTGTGGATAGGAGGTCAACTACAGGATATTGCATCTTTCTTGGAGGAAATCTTGTGACTTGGAGAAGCAAAAAGCAGGGTGTAGTGGCTCGGTCCAGTGCTGAAGCAGAATTCCGAGCCATGGCACAAGGTATATGTGAGTTGCTATGGCTTAAAATCATCTTAGAAGACCTGAGGATAAAGTGGGAAGAACCTATGGAGCTCTATTGTGATAATAAGTCAGCAATCAGTATAGCCCACAACCCAGTGCAGAGCATATTGAAGTAGACAGGCACTTCATCAAAGAAAAGTTTGATAGTGGCTTGATATGCACTCCATATGTGTCCTCTCAAGATCAAATTGCAGACATTCTTACCAAGGGACTGGGCTGCCATAATTTTGAGAAGATTGTATTCAAGCTGAGAATGGAAAACATCTATTCACCAGCTTGAGGGGAAGTGTGGGAAATCAAATAGTATTTTAGGAAAGAATAAATCAGGAAATTTGTATATTTCCTTGTAATCTGTACAGATTTGAATAATTAGGAACAATCCCATAAATCAAGGGATCCTAGCATAAAATAGAATTATTATATTTCTTAAAGTAGCTTAGGTCTCCTGTATATATCTCATATCATCTCTTTGTATTGAGATAATAAAAATCATATTTCAGTTAATCTAATTTTCTAGAATAAAATGCAAGCGTTATTAATTATATGAAATACACAACTATCTTACAACAATTATTTATAAAACAAATGACATTGTTGGCAAAATCTGAAGCAGCAAAATAGTCTCAACAATTTCCTTATCATTGTGAAATACTTACTGTGCGTTGTCCAGATATAATCCTAGAAACATTAGTTAGTTTAAGGCGCTTCTCTTCTTTCCCTGAGAACCATATCAAAACAGATTCATCCTGAAAGCATCAGACAAATCAAATACTTTCAAGTTTTGATAACCCAACAATTATTGGAAGGAAAACAGAACTGCATAAAATGGAAACTGTCTAGAATCAACTATCCCAAAAGCTTAAGCTGCCAGGTGAAGACACATTAATTTATGTAGTAAAATATGATACTTTTAGGATAAATAAATTATCATATTGTATGATAAATATTTATTTTCCTACTTTCCTTTTTTTTTTTAAAATGTGATATTTACCTATCCAAAAGTATCTTTATTATTTTACTACAATTTCATATCTCTCCAATGCACCCCATGCAAAACACTCAAGGCATGAATCATTTAGAATGCACAAGCCCAATCTACACGTTGTGCTAAAAGCCTACAACTCAGCTTCTGAGAAGAATGTGGGGGCGGGGGTGATGAGAATCCCCAACCACCTGCAAAAGTTCCAATATGTTGGGAAGACCAACTTAGTCTGACTCAATTCTTGGAGTGTGTTTTGTATATATCTTCGACAATTTCACTTAATGCCAATGATTTTTAGATAAAATCTGATATGGTATCAAATCCTATAGCTCATCTTAATAATTTCCTACTTTAATAGGCTCATCTAGTTTGGAGACATATATTGAAGGGAGTGTTAGGGAGTTTCACATCACTTGCCTCAAATTTTGTAGTGCAGCTTACCTCATGTCATATAGTATGGTATGGTGTAATATATCTGTCACACTACTCTACTTATTGTCAATTGGTTTTATGTTGAAATATTAACATGCTATCAAAATCAAAGTCTAACTTCTTTCTAGTTGTTGTCTTAGGCCAAAAAGTTGCTCTTAGTTGTGGGTCAAAAGTACCCTATGCTTGATCTCGCAGACTTCATTAGAGGGGACGTTTTGGATGTTCCACATCGTCTGTCTCATGTCATATAATATGGCTTAATATATCTGTTAGGCTACCCTATATATTGTCAATTGGTTTTATGTTGGAATCTTAACAATATATATATAAAAAGTAAAAGTTAAAATCTAGAGCAATCAATGAAGGCTCATGGATAGTTTTAATATATGACATACTACCTCACACAAGAGACCTTTAGGCACAAAGCATGGATTATGCACAAGCCTACCTACGCTATGCATATGCTGAAATTTAAGTTTTTGTTTAGAGGAATAGGAGTGTCAAGGATAGAAGTCCTAACAACCTCGCCATGGAAGCTTTAAAATATGATACCACGTATGCCGTCATGACTCAATTCTCAAAAGCTTATTTTTTGCACGTTAATGGTTTGATGTATCTAACATAAACAAATAACATATTGAAGGTAATGCAAAATCAACCATAAGCAATATTATAGCAATAACACAACAAGTATACGATCAAGGAGCAATGAAATGTCAGAAAGTATATTCTATAAATTTCAAACATAGTCACCACATGCAACATGTTACAGAAACACTTTTCTCTGACTTCATGACATCTAGATTTTCTTTTTCTGTTACATAGTTATAGCTAGCAGCTGTCATTTATTGGTTGTTTTTGGTTACAACTGAACAGATGTCAGTTATGCAGTGTTCTCCCCATGCAAATATATATTCTGTAACAGTGGTTCAATGTCTTTATACTTTTCATTCCAAACAATGAATCATTTTACTATGTTTCTTATTAATTCAATGCTGACAATCTTGATATAGTCAATAAGGTAGTAGTACGTTTTCTAAAGTCCAATTTAATAGATATGGCCTTTCGCAAGGTAAAACTTCCATTTATTAATATTTGCATAAAGGGCTTCTAACACAGATCCAATCAGTCTCATGGCCGAGAGAAGTCCTTCCCCGTCTTTCACTATGAATATTATTGTAATGAAAACAATATTTCTAGTAAACTAATCAAGGCTCCCCATGGTTTAGTAAAAGAAATATCATGTTTTAACATTTTCAATTAGTTGATTAAAACCTTGTAATCAAGTATAGCAACCGTTTTTCCAAATAATTTCACAATGATACCGAAACAGTTCTTTCATTAGTTATTTGAAACTTTATGAGTATGTACTTCTGAAATCTCCTTTCTCACAATGTAAGTTGTTGGATGAAAACATTTTTATCCCTCTTCAAAAAATTACTTACAGTCTTCATCTGTTAAGTTCAAGGCCCTCTGCTCTTTTTCTCCCTACTTTTGCCTTTTCAAGAAAATTTCTTAATATTCATAGAGTAAGGGGGCTCCTAACTTTTACACCTTCACAGATATTAATCTACATGTACAGAAAAAACAAGCACAAAACTCACATTGGAAAGTCGAAAGGGACAAAACTTGGGCTTCCCTCTTCTTCCATACTTGAGCAAGTGAGCCCCTTTTTTCAAAGCAGTAATAGCCTGTAGTTAAGACCAATAAAGAACCTCGGTCAGTATAATCAACACATTTGGCAAGCACAAAATGTCCTGCCTGAATATCATATTCCACAACACACAACAACAATAACTTGAATGCACATCAACTTATATTAAAACTGAAAAAAGTTTATAGCATATTTTACTATGCCGTGATCATAATCCCACATCCCTTACTAGTTAGAAAATCTCCAAAAAATTTAATCACCAAAAATGAAGGAGCTAGAAATTTTGAAAAATATCTTTGACAACCATGGACAGTTAGTTTTGCAGACTTTCATTCTTAAACGGATTTGTTAATTAGTAGCATCTCCACAAGCAAACATGAAAGTTCAAGAATATGAACTTGTTCTCGCTCTTGACTGCAACCTAAATATCACTATCAATATTTAAAGAGCAATAGATCTCTTAGTGATTTTCAAATTCATATCCACAACAGTATGAGATCATCAAAACATAAATAATAAGAAAGTTAGATACAATGACACAAGCCAACCACTACACAGATTTTCGACTACATGAATCAAATGATGTCATTTTACAGTGTACAAATCCAATTATTCAACAATTTTACATCCTTCTTAATCATTTCCTTTAGAATCAATCTTTCTTGGCCTAACAATTCCAATAGGAGTCTCTTGCAGTCCTCTTATCACATGTTCAAACCATCCTAGACAGAATTCTACCAACTTTTCCTCAATAGTTGTTAGGTTCACTGTCCCCTCTATATCTTTTTCTCTTTCTTATCCTTGCCTCTAACCTTTTCCCCTACTCTCCTTTCCTTTTAAGCAAGGCTGACAACCAAAATCCCTCTTCTGCCCCTTACTTGTGTAAGTCACATGGTCCATCATATGAATGCATAACAATAAAGGACACCAAATTTATAATCCTAAATTTTTTAATTTTTATACCTTAAAAATAATTAACAAACAGTTTGAATCCTAACAACAGCAAATGAAAATTTTTGAATATTGGTAAAAACACACCAAAACGATAATCCTAATAATAGGTATAAAATTATAGAATTAAAAAAATATATAAACAAATTTGTATGTTACCAAAGTCATGTCTTTCTTATTCTGTAAAAGCAAATTATAAAGAGCAAACAATGAAATTAAAGATATCAAAGATTCGCATCTCTTTTTTTTTTTATCATTATATGTTATATCTATAATAAGGAAACTTATTTTTATATGATAATAAGGGCAGCCTAGTGTATGAGACTCCCACCTGGTGGCGGTATTTCGTAAAGATAGATGTACATCACCTTAATTGTTGTAAAACATGTTCTAGCTGGTTTTCCTTTTTGACTAGATTGACACAAAAATGACCTAGCAAAATAGCCCATTTATAATAAAAAATACTCCTTTTTCTCAATTTAACATTTTATATAACCAGATAAAAATACTGATCCGGAAGAAGCTCTTGCACTTCCATGTGAAACAGAAGCTGAAGGAAGAATTGCATCAGAAACAGAACTAGCTCGGTCGGTGTGAACATGAGGCTGGTGAGACATGGTGATCAGTTATGGTAAAGTAAGACTTTCCTAATTTTTTGTGAATTGTGAAGGGTAGCCTGGTGTGACAACAAGTTTTTGTAAGTGTGCTCAATATTTGAGATGCTTTTAACAAGCTCTAAAATTAGTTCACTGCTATGCTATGTTTCATGGGACACAATATTTGGTGCAGCAAACCAGATACAATGTCAAAACATTTGGAAAAAGCTTATACATAGAAAGAGACTTATTATTCATTCTCACAAATTTTTTTAAGATAAATTACAAAAATGAATGATGAGGATGAAGTATTAGTTCTTAGCACTTACTTTTGGAGTGTGTGAATTCTTATATATATGTGGGAAATCAAATAGTATTTTAGGAAATAATAAATCAGGAAATTTGTATATTTCCTTGTAATCTGTACAGATTTGAATAATTAGGAACAATCTCATAAATCAAGGGATCCTAGCATAAAATAGAGTTATTATATTTCCTAAAATAGCTTAGGTCTCCTGTATATATCTTATATCATATTTCAGTTAATCTATTTTTCCAGATGGTATCAGAGCTTCCGATCTAGGAAGCTATGTCTGCGTGCGATAAACCCTAACACGACAACCTACATTGCTGCTGCATATTTCTTAACCCTAAGACGGCAACCTACATTGCTGCTGCATATTTCTTAACCCTAAGATGGCAGCCTGCATTGCTGCTGCATATTTCTTAACCCTAAGACGGCAGCCTGCATTGCTGCTGCATTTTTCTTAACCCTAAGACGGCAACCTGCATTGTTGTTGCATATTTCTTAACCCTAAGACAGCAGCCTGCATTGCTGCTGCATATTTCTTAACCCTAAGACGGCAGCCTGCATTGTTGCTGCATATTTCTTAACTCTAAGACGGCAGCCTGCATTGCTGCTGCATTTTTTCTTAACCCTAAGACGGCAGCCTACATTGCTGCTGCATTTTTCTTAACCCTAAGACGGTAGCCTACATTGCTGCTACATTTTTCGTAATCCTAAGATGGCAGCCTACATTGCTGCTGCATATTTCTTAACCCTAAGACGGCAGCCTGCATTGCTGCTGCATTTTTCTTAACCCTAAGATGGCAGTCTGCATTGCTGCTGCATTTTTCTTAATCCTAAGACGACAGCCTGCATTGCTGTTGCATCACACCTCCTTGCTATGATGTCAAGCGAAGAGGAAGTTGCGAATCCAAACCCAGAAACAAGGAATACCCAATCCCAGCAATCTGGAGAACTGCAGAATATTCATTCTGCATATAGACTAAATGGAAGAAATTATTTGAAGTGGGCCCAACTTGTTCGTATAGTGTTGAAGGGAAAGGGGAAGTTGAGTCACCTGATGGAGTCTGGACCTAAACAGGAGGATCCCAAGTTTACTACATGGGATGAAGAAGATTCAATGATCATGGCGTGGCTGTGGAATTCAATGATTCCAGAAATCAGCGACACCTGCATGTTCCTTAATTCGGCAAAAGATATTTGGGATGTTGTAGAGCAAACCTACTCAAAAGCCAAAGATGCTGCTCAAATATATGAAGTAAAGGTGAAAACTTTGGCAGCAAAACACGGGAACAAGACTGTTACAGAATATGCCAATCACCTGAAATCATTGTGGATGGAGCTAGACCATTATAGAGTCATAAAAGCCAAATGTACTGAAGATTTAGCACTTCTCAAGGAGTATATCGAACAAGACAGAGTTTATGATTTCCTTGTTGGTTTGAATCCTGGATTTGATCAAGTTAGGATTCAAATATTGGGGAAGCAAAAGGTACCATGCCTCAATGAAGTGGTGGCTATTGTGAGAAGTGAAGAAAGTAGAAGGGGTCTCATGTTAGAGAGTCCAGCAGTAGAGAACTCAGCACTGGACCATAAAGGAGATCAAACTTTGGCCATGGTAACCGAACAGAAGAAAGGAGGATCAGCAAATGTGGAGAAGAAAGGTGATGGTCTCTGGTGTACCTACTGCAATAAACCTCGTCATACCCGAGAGAAGTGTTGGAAGTTACATGGGAAGCCTTTAAACCGAGATCGAGAAGGGGGACACAAAGGAGGCTCCTCAAGGAAAGGAGGACAAGTTTATGTTATGTGAGTTGCTATGGCTTAAAATCATCTTAGAAGACTTGAGGATAAATTGGGAAGAACCTATGAAGCTCTATTGTGATAATAAGTCAGCAATCAGTATAGCCCACAACCCAGTGCAGCATGATAGAACAAAGCATATTGAAGAAGACAGACACTTCATCAAAGAAAAGCTTGATAGTGGCTTGATATGCACTCCATATGTGTCCTCTCAAGACCAAATTGCCGACATTCTTACCAAGGGACTGGGCTGCCATAATTTTGAGAAGATTGTATCCAAGCTGGGAATGGAAAACATCTATTCACCAGCTTGAGGGGGAGTGTGGGAAATCAAATAGTATTTTAGGAAAGAATAAATCAGGAAATTTGTATATTTCCTTGTAATCTGTACAGATTTGAATAATTAGGAACAATCCCATAAATCAAGGGATCCTAGCATAAAATAGAGTTATTATATTTCCTAAAATAGCTTAGGTCTCCTGTATATATCTTATATCATCTCTTTGTATTGAAATAATAAAAAAATCATATTTCAGTTAATCTATTTTTCCAGAATATATATATATATATACTCTCCCCATATTATAATCTACGCTAAAGTCCTTATTCCTTAAATATCTCCAATGAGTGAAATGTTCTTTTTAAACTAACAAGTAACCATAATGTTCCAGTGTTAGGATCTACAAAGCATCAGTGTTCTGATTTCACCATGAGTTCATTCATTTCCCAAATAAAAAATAAATAAATAATTGCGAGCATGGATCATACACCAGACTACCCATTTCCCCCTTTTGCCAAACACTACTACTAATATTAATGCAACCCAACATTTCCACTCACTGAATCGAATGTCAGTTTTCAGTTTTTACCCCTCTCCTACCAACAGTTACAGTGATAAAACAAATAAGAAAAATTAGAAAGAATTTCAAAATAATGGTGTAGAACGCACGTATATTCAGTGCAGAATCAAACCCATTACAACAAAAGGGTCAAAGGAAACCCAAAAATACTGACTTCAGCTGATGACACACCCCTACCTGGCAGTTCAAGCAAATTAATGAACCAACCAAACTTGACTTCCAAAACAGTACAAAGTTATAATCATCATTTATCATTTATTTATTACATTTAAAAATCTATTTGAATATCCATAAATATCTCACAATTAAAATCCTTCTTATAATTAAATAATTTTAAACAAAAATAACCAATTAAAAACCTATTAAATATTAATATCTATAAATAAATGTTTAACAATTCAATTTGAACACAGTAGTCACGAACTAACCAATTTACCTGTTCAATGTCCCTTTCCACGGGACCAGTTCTATTAAGATCCGAAGTCGTCGTCATCGTATCAGTGCGTGACATCACCCGAAACACAAAATTCACCGCTCAGAAGAAACTATTCCCCAAATTCAACACCAAATTCACACTAACTCACCCATTCTCGTGCCCGAACCCTTCCATCACCCAACAACCCTCCCAAACCCTCACTAAGCCCCGAATTCTCACGCGCCAACGCCTCCAACTCCTCACGCGCGCTCAAATTCGAAACCTCCACCATTATAATCGACCTCCAATGCCCACAATTACGGCAACGTCGTCATCGGAAGCATCGCAACATCTGGAGCTCCGTGCCGCTGAGCACGGTGCAACTCCAGCGCTCTCCGGCTATCTCTGGCGTCGATCGGCACCTGAAGAACTTCTAGGTCAAAGAAAACTTACACGAACGAGCCACAAATGTAACACTACGCAGATTCCGGCGATTAAACTCAGCCGAGAAAGCGCGAGAAAATCGGAATGAGAGAATCTCCAAGCAAACTGTGATCTGATTGCGAAGTAGGAGAAGAGAGAGAAAAAGAGTGTTATATATATATAGAGAGAGAGAGAGAGATGTGAAGATTGAAAAAAAAAAAAAAGCATAAAAAATTTTCAGTGTGGTGAGGTGGCTCTGTAGCTGATAGTGAGAAAAGGAAGTGAAAAGATAAAGAAAGGAAAAGAAAATGGGTGAAAGTGAAAGGAAATAATAAAAGTGAAGGCGCGGAGAAAATTGACCTCGTTGTTGGACGAAATTTCGAATTTGCCCCTGCGCTTTTTTGTTTTGTTCGGTGATTCTCGCGACAAAATAGAGAGTGAGTGGGAAGAAAAAGGTGGAATTGACTATTAATTAAATTGCGAAAGAAATTGGTAATAATAGTCTTGTGAGTCAAAGCATCGAGTATATTTAATATTGGTCTTTTGATTCTTATAAGTCGTCGTTGCTTAGAATACAATCGAAAGGAAATTTATATTTTTTTTCTTTTTTAATTTATTAAAACATTTTTTAAGAATAAAATTACTATAAGTGTTACTGGTGAAAATTTAGTTTTGTTTCGATTTCTTAGAGACTAGATTTTAACTAATTTTTAACCACCATAAATTCTTTTTATTTAGGTTAACAAATAAAGTTTTTCAATCAAAACGTATGAAGCGATAAATTTAAGTGCGAAATATGAAAAACGAATTTAAAAGCATATAAACATCAATGCTACTCAAATAAACAGTTATATCCAATCGAAAGAAAGATTGGTCAACAACAATGGATAAATAAATTATATTCATTAACTTAAAAATGAAAGTTTATTTTTGTATTTTTTATTAAGAGACTTGAGAAATTGAAAATCGATAGAAATAAAATTAGGTGTAAATTATATAACATGAAAGGCTATGTGAAATAAGAGACATGCAAATTCACATAAAAGTAACTAAATAAAGATAAAATAAAAGGACATGATCGTATGAAACTGCCGATTAAAGATACTGAAAGGTAGATAAAATGAAGGAACTAAGAATACGAACTTAAATTGCATGTAAATAAATGACCAGGAAAAGTAAAGAAAGCGGTAAAAGATGTCGAAGCGAAAAGTAATACATAATTTTAAATTACACAAGAATAAATTACCAAGGAATTGAAATAAGCTGGAAAGAAATACAGAAAAGTAAATTTAAATTGCATATAAATAAATTACCAAGGAAAGTAAAGAAAGCGGTAAAAGATGTCGATAAAAGCGAAAATTTAGATTGTCAAAAATTTCATGATCATCGTTATTCTCCAGTAGACTTGTACAAGCAATTTCTGATACCCTGAAAATCCCCTTCCTTCTTCACGTTTTATTCTATTTATAACCTTCTTCAACATAACCACCTAAGAACGGTTTAGAAACCACTACCCCATGTTCTCATGTGCAAGATAACGGTTTCCCTCGATTTCGACTCCAGACATCGAATACTTTAAACTACTTCTGACCACCTAAGAACGGTTTAGAAACTGCTACCCCATGTTCTCATGTGCAAAGATAACTGCTTCCCTCAATTTCGACCCTAGACATCGAATACTTGAACTGTCTCTAACTTCTCTCAAACTTAACTTAACACTCGATACTTATTATCGATTTTTTACTCCCAATCATGTTCATCGATTTTCTTCTATCCACTTTCGATTCATATCTCGATTTTCTCCAACACATGGTCATCGAATTTCTTTCACCCACTTTTCGATTCATATATCGATTTTTCCCACCAACAAAATGTCCCCTTGAAAGAATAAAAACATTTGTGCAAATTTTGTATTCTTTCAAAAAAGTGTCTACCCCAACTCTTTAAATGTTCTAAAGTCATACAAAGCTGTTTTTATTATCATATGTCAAATCAAGTCATTCCCCTCATTAATATTACTTGATTCTCCAAAAAGCATGTCTTTTCCCGAGAAATTTGTGCCACGTTTCCATTTAACTTCCCTTCACGTTCATCGTCTCAACTACCCTCAGTCAAGGAAATTTGGTTTAAGTCAAGCTTCACCATTCTTCCAAATCGATAATTTTCCAAGAAGTCATTCTGACTTTGATACAATCCAATCGAAATTGACTAAGCATCATTCTCTCCTTGTGCACGATAAATCGAAAACCAAGAAAAGTAAATACTCCCACTATCTTCAAATATTTCGATTCGAAAACTTTTATCGAGAATGCTACAACCCTCTTAAACTTAAAAGACACATTTTACACAGGTTGTTATTGTTAGAATTAATTTAATTCATTCATTCCATTATGTGACTCATGTGAAATATAATGATGGACCAAAATGTGATTTAATAAAATATTAGGACCTATTGGTTATTATGTGAAGTTAGAATAAAATAAAGATCAAATAAAATATTAACTTACGGTAACCAACTTGATGGACGTTGGTTAATAAAATAGAATAAGGGTTCTGTCTCTGGTCATAAGGTTTTTTTCACGGTAAACCATCAAGAAAGCGTGAGAAGAGAAAAAAAGACAAAGAGATAGATTGGGAAAAGGAGATTGGAGAACGAAAAGATTAAAGAATAGATTCTCATGAATCAAGGTTAGTCTTCTTACTATGATTCATGTATATGTTATATTGTGAAAATCAATAATCTAATGATCCTGTAGAGTAGTTTTCCATAATGAATTAAGAACGTAGAAAAACTACATAATATTTTACATGTGGTATCAGAGCACTGATTATTAGATTTATGATTTTCCTTGTATGAAAGTTTTCCCAAATTAAGATAACCCTAATTATGAATTTAGGGATTTCTCTATCAGATTAGTATGAACCCTAATTTATTCCCAAATTTAATTTTTCTCACAATTGAATAAATGGATAAGCCCTAATTTATGGATAAGGCTGCAATCAATTTCAAATTGAAACCAATTTGATAAACATTGTGCATCAATGGTCACATAATCCTTTTTAATTGAAAAGGTGAATCATGTATGAAATTTGTTTCATTGCATGTTATACTTATAAATGTTATAATTATGTAGAGAGATTTGTTATGGGTACTGTAAGCTTTGTTATGGGTACTGTAAGTCTTGTTATGGGTACTGTAAGCTTTGTTAAGGGTACTGTGAAACTTTGTTAAGGGTATTGTGAAACTTTGTTAAGGGTACTGTGAAGCTTTGTTAATGGTACTATGAAGCTTTGTTAATGTACTGTGAAACTTTGTTAATAGTACTATGAAGCTTTGTTAATGTAATGTGAAGCTTTGTTAATGTATTGTGAAGCTTTGTTAATGTATTGTAAAACTTTGTTAATGTACCTATAATGTAAACATTGATAAATGAATGAATTTTGTTTTGCAAACTGAATTGTATTCGCTGTGTTTAAATTACTCATAAAAGTTTTGAATGGATGACAATTTCACTTTTACGTGAAATGCAAATAAAGGTCTTGGATTGAAAATCAATCTTAGGATGAAAATTGAAATTATGAGTTTCAATTTTATTTATGGCACATAATATTTTATCATGTGAATAATGTACATATTTATTAAAATTAATAAAAAAATGCTATGAATGGTTAATAATAATTAAAGATGTTATTTATTTGAAATTAAGCATGATAAATTTTGTTAGTCACCAAAGTGGCCAAAATTTTAAGGTTATTTTGATTTCAAATTATTAATGATTTTATTTCAATTACCCATAGTGTGAATGCTAAAATTATGAATAATGATTTATGGGTTAATTGAAGTTCATTATTATAAGGCATTTCAGGGTCACCCAAAGGTTGATTAGTTGTTATTATAATTAATGAACATGAAAGTAGATAATTTTGTGTGCGTCACTAGTTTTATTATATACTCAAAGGTGTTAGGTGATTCTAGTTGATGCATATTTTAATTATCATTAATGTTATAAAAAGATTAGCGTAATTATGTTTGTGTATTAGTGGATCTCCCAAAGGAGAACATTAGTATGCATAGAATGATTATTTATGTTTGAATCTGTATTTATGTTTAGTTTTTATGACTCAAAGCGTTAATGTTAGGCATGTGTTAATTGAAGTATTTGTTTATGTATTTCTACATTCGCTTACTTCGTCTGTTCCAATCTTTAATAGATTAAATTCCCTGACTGGAGTGAGAAAGTCCAATTCACTTAGGTGAGTTGGATTTTGATTTGGCTTTCCAAGTTGAAAAACCGACTGCTATCACTAATGCTAGTAGCAACAAAGAGAAAACTCATTATAGAGTTTGGAAAAGGTCAAACAGACTTAGTCTTATGTTTATGCGAATGAGTATTGCAAACAATATTAAGTATGCTTTTTCCAAAACTAAGGACGTGAAAGAATTTACGAAATTTGTGGAAGAGCCCTCTCAAACTGTTGACAAATCCCTCGCTGGGACATTGATGAGTACGTTGACCACCATGAAGTTTGATGGTTCTCGTAGTATGCATGAACACGTAATCGAAATGACAAATATCACAACAAGACTCAAGTCTCTTGGAATGGTAGTGGAAGAAAATTTTCTTGTGTAGTTCATTTTGAACTCGTTACTGTCTGAGTATGGTCCGTTCCAGATGAATTATAACATCATGAAAGACAAATGGAATGTGCATGAATTGCACAGTATGTTAGTACAGGAGGAGACCAGACTCAAGAACCTAGAAAGCCACTCTATTCATTACGTAAAAAATCAAGGAGCTAAAAAGAAAGTTGTTAAGAAACATGGAAAGGGTAAAGGACCATTAAAGATTAACGAGTCCTCTACTAACATTCAGAAGAAAAATGACAAATGTCATTTCTGCAAGAAGTCTGGACATTTTCAGAAGGATTGCTTAAAGTGTAAAGCTTGGTTTGAAAAGAAAGATGAACATAGTGCTTACGTATGTTTTGAATCAAACTTAACTGAAGTTTCCCATAATACTTGGTGGATTAATTCTGGATGTACAACTCATGTTTCTAATGTAATGCAAGGATTCCTTTCAACCTGAACCATAAACCCAAATAAGAAGT